GTTTATTGCTCTGTAGCAATAAATAATAATCTTCTGCAAAGCAAGAGTGCAGACTGCAACTCTTGAAGATCTTGTGGGCAGCAAACTGATGACATTGTTCAATCTGTAGGGTGGAATACCAGCTTTCTCTGCTGCAGCTTCTTCTATACAAAGAAAAGAGTGGCAAGTGAACTGTAAATTAAGTGATTGTCATCTCTGAGGGTAACAACAAACATGAATGACAATGGAATTAGAAAGACTATGACCCCTTCCTCAGTCAGAGAAGTCATGAGGAAATACAAAAAAGAAATAATCCATAGAAAATTAATGACATGATATGAGATCAATATGCAAAAAAAGAAATTAGAAAGAAGAGAGACAGTTTGGTGCTACAGAATCACCACGGCCCTTCCTTTCTAGTAGGCAATATATATAACATATATTAAGAGACAAGTCAAGGAAAACATCATAATTTTTTTTTTTTTTTCATTTTGTATCTAATCAAATTGCAGGAAGTTTCTATAACTGATGTTATCATGAAGGAATAGCATGGCACAAGAAATATATGTCACTAAAGTACTTAATCTAATGAGGATGAAACCATTCTCTTATAAACTATCTAAGCATCAAAAAGAAAAAAAAATTCCTTTCCCCTTGAGAGAAACGTCAGGATTAAGTACAGCTCATGCCAACGTCTGTCTTGAGAAAGAAGTTATGTGAAGAATGACAGGAAATGGCTGCAGCTTCTTGTCTTATCAGTGGTCTGGTTGGTGGCACTGGCCAGCGAGGGAGAGCAATACTGGCAAACAGGCGTCAGCAAGCCTCCAGTTAAGTCAATAATCAAGACTGCATTTGCCTTCCCCAGGACAAAGCCCTCAAGGGAGAACCACGGCAGTGAAAGGGGAGTCTTCCTATTGAAAGTTAAATGGCCAAAGTTGGAGAACTTGCATACTGCAGTTAATTTAGCTCAGCGTACCCAGACACATAATGCTTTTCATACACAAAGAACTCCTTAAATAATTATTCACTGTGTAAACCAGCCTCTTTCTCAAGCCACTCAACCTAGCTAGCTACATTCCCGAATGTCATATCAGTGTGAAGTGTGAGATTGAAGCAGCACAGCAATTGCAACCTTCACAAGAAAAGGAAACAATTTCTTTTATACTTCTGTACATTAGGGTATAGCAAATCTTGTGTAACAGGAATAATGTTCATGGCATTGGCATATACTAAATAAACGGCTTTTGCAGTTGCTGAATACCTCCACTTCACTTTGGCATTTAATCAGCCACAAAAGCAGTTTATTGCGCAGTATACTCCGCTACCATGAACATTATCAATTCAGCAAATATTAAAAAATATCATGCAGGTGTCACAGAAATGAGTACTTTTAAAATTATCGACAGCTTTACACTTTCTGTTGCACAAAAGAAAGCAAGCTAAATGTTATGGAGAGATATTGGTCCATTCTGATTAAAATTAAAGGAGCACACACACATCAGAAGTGTTTATGCCAAGAGTGACCTGCTGTGCTGATATTTTCCTCCTTGCAGAGTGAAAGCTTTGGTCTATGAAAATAAGCTGTATACTCAAGTGAGTACTATCCCGGAGCACTTTGAATTCTCCACATCCTCAAATCATTTATATTGATTCTATGACTAAATAAAGGAATGGAAATATGTTTCTCTTTTTTTGTAAATTCTCTCTGTTTTCAATAGAAGTAAATATTTGCGCTCATGGTTCAGGGATTGCTTGCACTGACAGCTGAAAGCCTCTATTGATTTGCAACCGTGGCTTGGTAAAGGAGCCTCTCGCTAATCTTTCCCACAGTGCCCTTCCCATACTTCCCGCTCTAACCTGGGAGGACGGCTCTCTCTAGGGCAAGAGGTAATTAAAATCTCCCTCCCAAAGAGACGCCTTGTTTTCCATTCTCTGCTCAAGAGTTACCATCGTAGAGACTAAATAAGACGAGAGCATTGTAAAGCACAAGTGGATTCCACAAATTTGATTTGAACGCTACGTAGGTGATATATGTGCTGCTGGTGCAGTGGGCTTGATCTGCTCTGAAAGGAAAGTATGCCTTTCTGGGACTCTCGTCAGAGTTTAAAGGCACCAATACAAAGCAATCCCAAACCAGATCCATCCTATTTCCACACAGGAAAACTTTTCAACCACTAAGTGGCAATCCTTGCATGGTATTTCACAGTCGTTCCGCCTGGGGTCCCTGGGGTGACAGACACAAGGGGTTTGCAGAGCAGCTATTCACATCTACGTCCTAGTTTGAAAGAGCAGGGCAAAAACCCCACATGTTTTTAAAACAGGTGCTACCTTGTTTTTCTTGTATTCTCCTAGTACAGAACATTCACCCGGGCCACAAGACAGCCTCAGCGCCACGGCACAGCCCACTGGGTGGTTGCAGAGTCTTCCTACTCTGATGTGAACTTGCCATAAAATTGAAGAGAAGGAAACACCACCACTAGCAAGCTAATCCATTTGACAGACCTGTGAGAAGACTAACAAGTAAGATGAAATCCCAATCGCTTCCTCTGGTGCTCCCACCTGGAAACAAGCAGAAGGCAAGAAAACCACTGGGTGCAGCAAGCTTTGTCCATAATCTCTTCAGTATATGAAGTGCAATGAGCTCTTCTGCATGTCTAACTTTATTTTAATTTTTTAAGATATGATAAACAATAATAATAAAAAGAAAAATAAAAACAAAAAAATTGCTGTCCTGGACAAGAGAAATTGTAAGATTTTTAAGAAGTCTTAGAATCTTAGAAATCAGAAGCAAATAATGTCTCAGCCATGGAATACTCTCTGCACAGGAACTGTAACAAGTATTCCCAACTCTCCCCCAATTATGATGACTATCAAATTAAACAACACTAAGTAAAATAAAATACTAGTTAAATTAGAAGAATTTATGTCCGTATCAGCAAAGGATACCAATATTCTGTACACTGAAAGAAATTTTGCTGAAGGACAGATACTCAGAAAAGAGTATATTTGGAAAGGCATATAAGTCAGTCAGTTTTCTGAATTAAATGCTGCCACCTTTAATTATTTTGAACATTTTAACCTAAATATTTAAAATCAAGAAAAATTAACAGTAAAATTGAGTCATGGAAATAAAAACATCCAGCCTTCAACATCTTGGACAGAAATTAGTCTTAACAGACCAAACAAATATGTGTCTCCAGGTGGAAAAAACAAGCCTGAGAATACAAGAGCAGCAGTGACACAAAATATGACCACCACTCCTACAGAAGGTCATACAATGTAGACATTAAAGGGCTTTAAAGAGCTTTGAATGTTAATGACAGACTGAGGAAGAAGAAGAAGAAAAAAAATCATTTGAACTCTTCGGCAAGAAAGTCAAAGAAATTTAAAAAGCATTGTTATATTGAAATTAAATTGTTACGGAGTGAAGACTGCCCTGCCTGATTTCAGGTTTCAGAAGAAATAAATGATCAAACTGACTTTCGGTATTGGTAGATTACTTAATCTTAGAGCTGAGCAACAGACAATAAAATTACAACTGAGCACACACCTCTGATCTTGAGAAAAGACATCCAGTAAAGAATGACGAGACCTCTGATAACTCACAGGCTTTTAAAATTAGGATTGGGTGTTGACTGCACTTGGAGAAAGAAAAAAATACGGGTAAGATATAAAATTATTATGCCCTTATCACATTAACTGAAGCTTTAAAGGTTGCAGTGATGACTTCTTTGTGCTCAGAGTTGAAGCCAATGTGTAAAAGCTCATGCAATAAAACGTGGACATGTGTGTAAGCATGCCATTGAACTAGGGCTAGTGTTTACTCAGCATTGCTGCTTCTGGTAAATCCATGAAAAATGCTTTACTATAAATTGTGGTGGATATTAAGATACAGTTACAGAAGCACAGAGGGCAGTGTCCTGGAAGCAGATCGCCCAAATCTTCAATAAGCAGTCTGGCAATTCATCACAATTACTAGTGGTCGATCATTATTAATTCTTACGGTAACCATTGTACTCATACTGAACTCATTTGCTATTAATGTGGAGGTAACATGCAATTCCTTAGACATTAAAACGTAATTTTAAAAGCTCAGGATTTTTTTTTGTCTAATGGTGAATAGCTTTTTTCATAGCTTAAAATTATGTGTGAACAAAGCAAAAAAAATCAGCATTGGTTTCCTGTTTAAATTCATACCCTCGAACTATTTAGACCGCATTGGTAACACCACTCTGTTTACCTTTTGAAAATACAATGTATACCAAAAATAATAAATCTAACAGATGAACTTCAATCTTATGCAAATGTCCTTTGTTTTGTGCTCTGGTGAGCAAGCTACTGTACCAATACTTTTGGCATTAGTACAAGACTGAATCCATGGAAGCATGTGTGTATTTACACAAAAGAGGCTTCTAAGCTACAAAAATCCCTCTTGTTTGGTTACACTAATTTCCCTTGAATGAAGTTTGTATGCAAGCCAAAACAATGGTAGTTATCCTGTCCTCTAGAGTTCATTCCCAACAGAACGATGTGAATAATTGAAAACTTCCTAGGTAGTCCTGTAAGACTCTTCTTTCGTAAATCAGAAGAAACGCAACACTATTTTTTTTTCTTCTTTAGCTATTTTTAAAAAGTCTGATAATCATACACAAGATTTAATTACAGCAAAAAAAAAATCCTTCTACTTCTTAGCATTTTAATGAAGTCTTGGAATTTTGGAGAAGGTAGTAGGTCATTTTCTGATCTGATTAGGGAGTTAAAAGTAAGCATTCAAGTTTAATATTCAAAATAAGTCAGGTGCATAGGGAAGAAAATGAACTGGAATATAATGCCAGAGGCTGGTGTAAAGGAAAAAAATGGAAAGGAATCTAATGCTTTTGAGCCAAAGGACAGACGCTAATTATTCAACCACCCCTACAGCAATGAAATCTGTTGCCTCAGCCAGTAGATGTCTCTCTCAAACACGCAGCTGCTACGCAGAAAACATGTTAAAGCCATGAGGCAATGAGAATTATTCCTACCTTAACTGAATGCGGTCCCAACGCTTCTGCATCAGGTGGCTGAACACCAGCAGGTCTTGATGGTCTAGTGGTAACTTCTGACCACGCACTGCTGTTCGTGCCTCCGTGAAGAGTGCTCATCAGCACTCTGTACTCAAATTTCTGCCAAGGGCTCAGAGCAGTACTCTGGTCAATGTAGCTCATGGGCTGACCGAGAGGGAGAGTCACCACAGTTGATATTTGTTCTGTTCCCTTCACCCTCCTTTCTATTGTAACATTTTCCACCAAACCATTTGGGTGAGCAGGGGGTTGCCAGGATATGACCACAGAAGTTGGAGTATCGGAATACAGCTCTGGAGCAGGAATATCCTCAGGTGCATCCGGAAGAGTCTGTATTTCTGGGGTCTCGGGTGAAAGAGAGCATCCTTTAGAAGTGCATCCTTCTACCTGAAACACATAGACAGTGTAAGGATGCAAGTCTTCCACGGTGCAATTAGAGCTAGTTCCTGGCACTGTAGCATGCAGTTGGCCACTTTGGTAAATATTATAATGAGTGATAAAGCCATTTGGCTTTAAAGGATGCTGCCAGGTGATGCTCGCTGCCCTTGCTGTAACATTCAGTAGAAGTGGTGGATCTAAAGGTCCGGGTTCTGTAACAGAAAAAAAAGGAGAGGAAAATTACTAATAGTCTGTGATTTGTCGGAGTCAGCATTAGCAAGCAGTACTCATCAAATGAGGCTCAAAACGACAAAAGAAGTTCAAATCTACTGAACAGCCTATTTCTTCAGAAACTGTAGGCCCAGCTATTCAAGGGAAGGATATGGCTCTCTTCTCAAAGGCAAGCTGCTCTGTAAGCACACCTTCCCTCCTCTCAACCTTCCTCCCTCCTTCTCTGCATCTTTTTTCCTCTGGTGTCTCAAAAGTGCCCTGTCGATGCTGTTAGCATGTGGAGAAAGTGCACGGCTAAGTACCGATACAGATGTGCAGTTCTAGCTTTTGTTGATATTTTTCTAGAGCGCTAGCTACTAATTGCAACCAACGGCACGGGCGTAACAAAGCTGCATATTTTACAGCTCAGTAAGCCCCTACTGCATCTCTCATTATATATTCAATATTTTACTTCATTCTGTTTATCATTCTAATCCATTTTTTGCAATTTATCTACTCCCTGTTAATATTATAGGCGATTTTTTACTGCAACTGTGACAGAAGCTGCCGATTTAGCTCTTTCACCTACTGATAAATAAACAATGCACAGATCTGACCTTTAGGTTAACAGGTTTTATGCTTGCTCCACTCAGCACTCTAACTGATTCAATTATCATAAAGGTTCAGGAGCTTCCATGAATACTGAAAAAGACCGACCATATGCCTGCATAGGTGTTGTGGAACAGCAAATACTCTGCAGCCCTCCAGAGAAATTCCTTAATTGTAAATAATTTCACCATGCGACACAATCAAGTCACCTTGAATGCAAAACCCTCAGCCTGTGGAGGCAAAGTGTTATTTAAGCTTTACTGGGCTGCGTTAAATTCTGCAATTTGAAGGGCTGTTAAGTTTTTCAATTGAAATTTCATTTAAAATGCAGGTGCTTTTTATTATATTGAGGCTTTACTGCTCTCTAGGTACAAGCAAGAACATGGTGCAATAACACAAATCTGGCTCAATCACTGATCAGTAACAGCTGTAATTCCAGAACATTTAGCATTCTTATAAACCACGTCCTGAAATCTATAAATTGCTACAGCAGATCAAGAAAATGCTATATTCCCCCCTATTCTGCCCATAGCAATTTTGACATTTATGAGATTTTTCTGTGAACATTACATTTTATTGAAATCTTAAAAAAAGATATACTTGGATTTAGTAATTGTTTAAAATAGCTTTAGGTTTGGAGATTTTTTTTTTG